ATCATCACCTTTACATTATATTCCATTTCATTTTATTATATTTCCTCGGATTCACTAAACAAAATAGGGTGTAAGAATAGCATGAAGTAGTCCTTAACAATTGTATTATTTATTGATAATATAGTTCTTCGAGTTGAGTGTTAATAATTAGGTTCAAGAAAAATTGCATGGCATTTGACATGTTAGATCTAATTTTGAATATTTTAAGATGATAATGTAATCAAGTAAAACTAACAAAAATAAAAGTAGCATGCCAGCTTGACTGTAACAATAACCGATTAAACTTGTTTGACCTAGAAGCAAATAAAAAAAAAAACTCCTAACAATTATTGTGAATAATCTACTCCTTCCATTTCATATGTAATCATTTTACCTATTACACGCCCATCAAGAAAAATGGTTAATTGGCTAATCGCCTATTTTTTTACTTTATCTTTTATTCATGCTACCAATGACTATTACAAGTAATTTTCATAGGCTTATTTGGATAGTTTTGACGGGAAAACATGGAGCTACTTTACAAAAATGACATTGTAATGTGAAATGAAAGTTGTATAATAACAACTATAATTACTACACTAATTCAAACCAAACCAACTTAATAAATAACTATTAAGAAATTATTAACATATTTATCTAATAATTTTATGATTGTTAATTAATTAGATTATTATTGAAATTGTACGCGAGGTTAAATTAAATATTTTTAACTCTTATATGTCTCATCTATATATCTGCATGTTTTTTCGTATCATCAACTGAAAAAAATGATTTCAACACATATTTACATTATCACCCCATTTATATGTATTTTTCATTAAAAAAGTTGATGACAAGTAAATTTTGTATTTTAACCCTCATAAACAGTGTCATTCTGACTTAAAACAATCGTATTCAAAATATTATATCAACAAATTTTATGTAAAAAAACAAATAAATTAGATCTCATTGAGGCTCAAAATCCTTTTTATTTTTTTCTTATAATACCGTATTTATCTTTTCATAAAAAATGCATGGTATCAAAGCCAATTGGGGCTTAATTTTATGGGGGAATCCCAGTTAAATCCAATTAAAATACCTAAATTTAAATTCAGGCTTATATTTTTAACAAATTCCTAATCAAGCCATGAGGTCTCATTAGAAATTTTTGAATATCATTGAATGACCAAAATGCCCCTCTTTAATAAAAAAAAAAAGATTGTTTTATCCCTCCTAAATAATTCATCTTCTCTTATGATTATTTTTTAGGATTAGAAAACACATAAATAATTTTATAATATTCAAAATTTGTATATATAACCAAAACCCTCAAAAATATTTTTCATTCAACATTTTAAATTATAATATAAGTACCCTTTAAATAAATATTTTGTATTTTCAGGTTGTGAATATTCATTTTTTAGATTTTAAAATATCTTAATTACAAAAAATATTTTAATTAAGTTGTTGCAAATTAACTTTTCAGGTTGCAATCCAATGTTTGCTTAAATAAATAAAACTAACTTAAATTATAAGAACATACTATTAAATATTTTTTTGTAATTATAATTTTAAGATCTTAAAATAAATATTTACAAACATAAATAAAAAAAATTATTTTAAGACTATTTATGTTGAAATTTAAAATTTTTTATTAAAATATCTTTGAAGCTTTTAGTTATGTATACAAATTTTAAACCCTGAAAAAATTTTATATGTTTTTTGGTTCTAAAATTAAGGGTGAATGGGCAAATTTAATGATTATAATATAAAAAAAAAAACACTAGGTTCCATGATAAAATATTGGGGACAAAAATACACATGAACATTTTAAAATAAGGCAAAAAATCACCTCTGTTAATTAGAGCAAACGTCTGTTACTTTTTTTTCTTGTGGGTTCCACTTATTCCATGTGTCATTCTTTAGTCCCATGCTCTCTCCTCCCTATGAATCCTCTCTTCCTCTCTCTTTCTTCTCTCCTCTGTCCCAATAAGGAATCAGAATTAATAAGTGAGTGAGTGATGTGGGGGTTTGATTGAAATTAGAGTAGAGTCTGTTGATCTCTTTGACGGGTTGGGGGCAGATGAATTTGACCGTGAAAGCCATCAATGGAGACAATAACCGTGGGTGATTAATATGCTCGATTTTCATCACGAATCTCTACTTGTCCTGACAGACATAAACGGTGAAGCAACTGTGCAAAACCACACTAGTCTGATATTTTTGGTGACGGCAAATATAGCTCCTTGAATCTTCTAAAACCTTTTCCTCACAGTTTGCATCAATGACGCCGATGATGCATGCATATATGGGAGGAGAAAGCTAGAAAGGAAAAGAATAAGAAGGTTGAGAGATCATGTATGAAGAAGTAACAAGTTCCTTAATTTATATATATAGTGAGAGAAGTATGAGGAATTTGATTCAAACACAAATGTTGACCCATTTTTCTACATTTAGAATTTTCTTGACCGTATCCCACACGCTATTGGGTGTTGAATTGTGAATTATGAGGTAAAAATCATGAATTCGATCGTTCTAAATTTGGCATGTTATTATTATTATTCAATGGCAATCAATCAATTACATATGTAATATAAGTTTTTTTATATTATCAATATGAAATACAATATATGAAGCTAGACACAAGGAGTCTTCTTTCGGTGGTGACAATGAGCGATGAGGTGGCTTTGGCAGTTCCGGTGGCAGGGAAGGCGGTAGATTCAGTGGCTTTAAGGATCCATGTGGAGGTCAATTCTAAAGGGAAAGAGAGAAAGGATGAGAAGGGGTTAGAGTTAACTCAAGATGAGAGATAAATGAAATAGACTAAGTATGACCCATTAAAAAGAGTAACGCTTGTTTAGAAAATTAATGTAAATAGTATTTTTGGTCTGTTTTGAAAAGTTTATTAGTATTTTTGCATCCCACATTTTATTATAGTGCCCGGTGCTCCTTTTTGATATTACAGTAAATTTGTCCCTTCATACAAAAATTAATCATAAGGGTGAAAAATCACCTGAGAGAAATAAATAATAATTTTTATTTTAATTAAAGAGAGGCATTTCAATCATTTGACAATATTCAAAAATTCTAAATTAGGACTCATGTCCTAATTAGGAATTTATTAAAAGTGTGTGCCTAAGGTATTTAAATAGGATTTTATTGGGATTTTTCCTAATTTCATTCACATTTATCCTTTTTTGATTTTATGTGAATAAAATTGATTTTCGTATAACTCTGATACCAGCTATTTGTTTTATCTAAAGGTGAAAATGAGATTTTGAGAGAAAATATGAGAAAGAAAATTTAAATCATATATAGAAATTTTTTTTAATAAGGACTTGATCTAAGAATAGTGGTTTTTGAGTGTCTTGATGAATTCCTTAATAGAGTGTCTATTCTTAATATCATGATAGATTGTGTTTCAGTTAATCTTATAGCAATTCATAACCTGCAATAATAAGTATTGCAATTCACATTCTGATTAATTAATCTTACAATAACTCGTGGCAATTTATACATACTTAATCTTGAAAGACTTTAAAATTTTTCTTTTTTTAATATAGATTGCATTGTTCCAAAAAAAAAATATTGATAACTAAACTATAATAGTTGAACACTCTCACAATAAATTATGAGGCTTTGTTTGTAGATAAGAAAATTTGAAAATACTAAGATAAAAAAAATCCACAATGCATAATATAACATTTTAAGCTAACTCTAACATATTGATAAGAAATTTATAGGAACATGGAATTTTTTTTCCTTTAATGGGAACAAGGATCTTTCAGTTACCTGATTCCAACTCCATTAAATTAATAATTTTTTAAAGAAATTTTTTTCTTATAGTTAAAAAATCAGAATCTTAATGTATTAATAGATTTTAGCGTCAAATTTGTCATTTCTCTCTTAATTGCTTTGCTATATCTGTCATATAAACGTTCTCATCATGTTATATCTTATAATCTCATTACTAAAGTTCATACTAATAATTAATATGGACTTGTACTAAAAATCTAAATAATTTTTCTAAGATTTGGTGGGATAGATGAAATAATATGAACTGCTTAATATAAATATATACAAAAAAACATGCATTTTAGCCTTTTAATAACATATGGATACTACTCCAAGAACACATGAAGTTGATACATCACTTGGCAGCATCTAAAAAAAAAAAAAAAAGAAACTAGGTTATAAATTAATTGGTGCAATTACCACTTTGCTAATTTAAAAGGATATTTTAGTCTTTTAACCACATTAGAAAATTTCTAATAAGACTTCTTGGCCTAATTAGAGACTTGCTAAAAGTGCAGGCCTTAATTTGAATTTTGATATTTCAATTGGATTTAATTAGGATTCTCCCTTAATATTAACATCGTTACACATAAAAAAACAAGATCAAAATTAAAATTCATTAAAAGCATAAAGATAAAAATTAAAACTCATCAAAAATATAGAACTCAAAATAAAAACTCACTAAAAGTATAGGAGTCAAAAAAAAATTATTGAAAATATAGAAAATAAAATTAAAATTTATTAAAAACATGAAAAGCAATTAAAATGCCTACCAGAAAACTATCTTGCCCGTGTAGCACTAACATGTAGGTTCCGTCCCGCCTCTTGTACCTAAAAACAAGAAAATTTGATCTACAATATTTGAATTCTATTTAGAAATCAATTTTTTTATTGTTGAATTTATTGTTAAAATTATAGGAGTAATGTTTTCAGAAGTATATTTGAAAAAACAACGAAACAAAATATAGGAATTAAACCCGTTATTTAACAGCGACACAATAAAATAAAAGGCAACTTTATTTTTGGCCTTGAAAATGCAACTTGTTTACACAAATTCTCCTCTGAAGAAGAGGCAATTCAAACCTCATCGCAGCCCTGAATTATCCATAGTTGTTTGGGCTTAGGCACAATTATCGACGCCTAAAATCCCAAATTCAATCATCACAGATCGGCCCCCTAACCTGAAAATGAAAAGAAATGGGGCAAAAAGGCCAACAATCTTGATTTCCGAAGCTGTTGAAATTTTTGTAGTCGAATATTGTTGATCAATTGGTGAAAGGTATCTCGTTTGGATTTTGGAATTTGATTTGGGAATTCTTTGAGCTTGTTTAATGCCAATGCATCAAATTTGGCTGCTATTGCTCGCGTTCGAGTGAGTGAATCGTGTGCTTTAGTTACTGCTCACCCTAGAAGAGCTCATCATCGAAGTTACGAGAAGCATTAAACGGAAATTGGGGTTTTTGTAGCTGAAAATAAAAAAATAGGTTTTGCGGTAATCCAGATATGTCGACGGGCAAACCTAAAGACGGTGATCTCCCGGTGGTTTCGGTGCCGGAGAAGTCGAAACCGCCGCGTCCGCCGGCAACAGCAGTATCCAATGCACTTGTGGAATATACTCCAGTTGGTTTCAAGGAGGAAGAAGAGGACCTTGAGGTTAAGCTACGACGTATTATCGATAACGTGCCTGTCCGAGTCAGCAACACGTCTGGAAGCTCTGCCGGTTCCGGCTCCGGTGACTTTCATCAGGTAAATCTTCCAATTAGTTTAGCTGTTCGAAGCACAGTAAAATTGTTCTCCAGATATTCCTTCCAGGACTTCTCTTTTGTACTCTAGTTGGTGCTGAGGGAGTTTAGTATGGTAGTGAGAATGCATATTACTGTTAGTAGTTGCTTAGAGGAAATGAAATTAACATTATAGTACTGATAATCGCTTACTATTATCCAGGCTAGTATAGCCTACACCGAATCTTCATGTTTGATGGCATGTGTAGCTCACCAAACCTGTCAATGAACCTATTGATGATAAATGCAAAGGGGCATTACGTCAATTATGCCCTAGTAGAATGTAATATGTAGATCATAAAAGCAATTCAAAGTGATGCTGTAATTTTATCTACCACTTGACTCTTTGGTGAGGACTGATGTGCTGGTGATCAGGTTGATGCATTGGTGGAACACAAAATGTAAGGAGTTTCAGATAGGCACTGTACAGCAGTGGTAGTGTTAGAGATTTACCTTGTGATTGATTAGCACATAATGTGGCTGGCTGACGATATACAAGTGTTTGGGGATTAATATACAAAGTGTAGCTTCTACTTCAAAATGTTGTCCAAGAATGATAGACAGAATGAGTAGAATATAGAGTTTTATGGATAGTTGAGTAGTAGGAACTATTATATAAGATAAACTAATGATATTTATGCTGAATGGAAAAGGTAGGGCACTTATTTAGTATTCCTTCAGTCCTAAATGTAAGATCCATTTTGTAGTATAGTTTACACTGCAAAATAGGTTTTGCATTTAGGAGTGGAGGAGTATTTGAATGTAAACCAATTGGGAACAACATCGATAAACTTTTGTTCTAGATGTGGATTCTCTGTGTTAGCCAGGGCTTTTTAAAGGGGTTCTTGATTTCTGCCACAGAAAGGGTGTGATTCTGCAAGGTTTCTTGGTTTAGATTTGTTTCTGAAGAATTTTGAGCTGTGAAGTCTGATTTAGTTAGGGACTGGTGCTAAACCTTCCCCAAACCGACTAGGCCATGAAAACCCTCCCTATACATAGTTTGATTTTATTATCATTTGGTATTAAATGTGGGCATGCTGATCGGATCAAAATGATATGGACATGGACACATTCATACGTCAAACTCAAATATATAGCAACCATAACATGACATGATATACATATATCTTGTCATATCTGCTATATTCAAATCCTACTTCTTAATGCTTTCTGTTTAATGTTATACTTTTATTGAAGAATATGAACAGCGTTATCTTGTATTCTAAGTACCTTGCACTATTTTCCCCCAGGAAAATCTACTAGATAGAAAGATGTTGAACTGTACCGTTCAGATTATTTATGCACCACATGAACATTAGTGGAGCTGTAAATTTGGATTTCCTTGTTTATGGGGTCAGCTGTGTCCAGTGCAAATTTGAGCCCAAGAAAAGAGCTCCTTTTTTTCTTAGTCTTACATGTCTATGCAACGCGTCAAATACATGACAATGAGTGTGTCTGTGCTCTATAAATCCCGTAGTCCCTATTATATTCAAGCAGATGCATTAAAACGCTTTATGTGGTATATCCTTGCATGCATGTGCTGATAGTTTATCATATGTTAACTTGTTGGGAAGCTCGAAAGGTAACAACTATGTTCTTATTTCCCGTTTTCCTTAACTTCTTCCAACAGTATCGACAGATGAGACGGAAAGAGCAAGATAGACTTGCGAGGATGGAAGTTGATTATCAGAAAAGGAAAGAACTGGCAGAGTTTACAATGAGGAGGGAGGAAAGGTTAAAAGCTGCTGAAGAGCGAACAGCAAAGAAGCGATTGAAACGTCAAAAGAAAAGGCAAAGAAAGAAGGAAAAGAAGAGTAAATCGAATACTGGAGAACAGCAGGAACAAAAAGAAGGATCTTCGGACGAGGGGGACTCAGATAATGACGAGGAGGCAACATAGTAAAGCATGCCTTGGCCGTACTTTAATGCTCGAAATATTGTTGTAAGCTACATCTTAGATGGCCACATTCATTTAAAGTTTTGAACATACAGTCTTGGGACTTGATTGAGTTTTCCAGGTATTGTATTTTGTTTTGAGATGAAATCTTTGTGAGACTAATGGAGGGCCATGGGATTGTGTAATTTTTGCCTCTACGTTTCCCACTTCTCGAGAACCACGACTGCGCTCTGTTGATTCACTACTCAACCTCTTTAGATGTGAAAAGAAATTTTGAGCACTTTGATGGATCATTCAAGTCAGAGCGTGCAAATAGTGAGAGTTTTTAACTTAATCGTAGTTTGCATAACAAAAATTACAACAAAAAACAGGAATAAATTCACGATGCCGTACTTATTTTCCCTTTTCTGTTTATGCCGTAGCACTCATTTAGTCATTTTCCATCTTAATAGTTCTACATGTACATAGGACATAGCGGTGCAAAGATACAAAGCTCTTCAGTCAAAATTTTATTCCTCCTTATGGCTACAGAAACAGGTTCACCAAAGACTTAAAATACAATACACAACCGATCAATCGCCTAACAAGAGGATCTCACAACCCTCGAACTAATATAATAAACATTCATTAAGGAAACAAACCCTAAAGAGTGAGGAGATACTTCGACTATAATTCACATCAAACACAACACAAGCCAAGCCTCACGCAAGCTTTGGGATTGGAATAGTTTCTGATGTTGGTAGCGTAACTGAACGCAACAATTCCAGCGAGAAAACAAGCCCCAGGAAATGAGAAAGGATGGTGTTTGCTGAAGCCTGTAGATCAACCAAGAATTACAACGATGTAATAACAAATGGCTTAAATGCTTAAAAGATACCCATGTTTCTTGAAGACTAGTTCCGAAAGGCATCAATAAAGGGACAGAGTTCAGAGCGGAAATTTCTGTATCATGTTTATAGGATTCAAGAACCAGACTTAAAATTGTGCACTAGACTTGACAATAAATCCCACCAAAAAATAAACTGCAAATGGCGAATGCAGAAAGGATTCTTGAGATCAAATCAATGTGCCATACCTGCACTAAAAAGACATCCAGAGCAAGGACAGGGCTGAATCCAGGAGACATCCCTGAGTAATATGGACTGGCCGAGGAAGTGAGAGCCTTTCCAACCAAAGCTCCAACTGTGGCTTGCATGCCAAGAATAGCGGCGCCCATTCCCAAGAGGTTCAACACTATACCGTTTTTCAAACTTTTCACAACATCAGCACGAGGAGGGGCCTGAAAGCTCAAGTAGGAAGTAGTGAGGGAGAGGACGGAATAAGAACTCACTATGAAGACAAGGACCACCTAATATCACCATCTATGACCAAAGTCCGCAAGTTAAAGCAATATATTATCGCAAACACAAAATGTAAATTGTGGTGATCTATCCAGATAGCTCTACTTCAAGTCCTATAAATAAATTGTTGAACATAACACAATTAATTCAATATGGATATTATGGCCTATGGGCAAACAGTAAGTGCATATCAACTTGAGGACCCATTTAACTTAAAACTTCAAGAAACTTCAAGATATCATGAGTTTAAGTAGAGAAAACAACAGAATTCATGTCCAGCTTAATGTCAGTGACTTCTCGATCATCTCACCATGACTGACAGACCTTGACACTGTTGGGATGCACCGATCCTTCTGAGCACGAGTTGAGGTTGGAGAAATTTAAATAGGAACGAAAATCTTGGAAGTTTGTTAATGTAAGTATTGACAGATTTACCGGGATCGAAGTTCAAAGTTAAAGGCTAATGCACTTTCTTAGTTCTCAGTCTTTTTTCATTCTTTACTCCCTTGGAGAGGAGCATGTAACACCAGCATATGTCATGACAGATATGATAGCACTGATGTTCGTGTTTGGAACACAGAAAAGGAATTGTCGAGTAAAAATCATTCTGAAACTCAATTTAGTGAAGGGCTGTAAGAAAATGTGGGAAGGCAACAAACGACACTCCACAGATATCACTAAAAACGACAATTACAAAAAGCATCCAAGAAAAGAAAATTGGATTTAAAACAATTTTATATCATGGTTGAGCGTTGTTGACATTGAAATTCATGCACAAGAGTCAACAGAGATCCACCACTGAAAATGACTTCAATCTTGAGAACTTCAAAAGCAGCTCAAAATCAGTAATATAAACACTACCTTTGTTGGCTCATTGGCAGTTCTTCGAAGCTTACTTGATAGCCGAATATATCTGAATGACCAGAATACAGAAATGAAAGCAGCCACTAATCCACCAGAGGTAGCATAAAAGGTTGCCGGTGAAGTAACCTTGCCTGTGATAACAACGGAAAATGATAGTATGACAGCAGCCACCACCGTGCAGGCTAGCTGGCCCCAAAATCCTAAACTTCCCAAACGCTTAAAATACCTCGCTGTCTTCTCTAGCCTCTTTGAAACCTACAACAACGAAATCAAGCTTCCGCTGTGGTTACATATAAAAGATAAGCAATGCCAATGCGAAGAGCATTTTTTCTTAAAAAAAGTTCTACTCATTTTCAAGAACATTAACTTAAAGGGATCAGAAGGAAAGTTTTATGAACTGAAGTTACAAGAGACGTTTAGCCTTTGAAAGGAAATCACTTCGCTCACAGTATAACTCAGAATCATGCGGAAGTCAACTCATTGAGCACACGCAAGGAATTCACAAACCCCCATTTCAGATAGAGAGAGAAGAGGATGATGAGAAAGAGAGAGTGCCTGAGCAAGTTTTGATTCTTCTGATTCATGATCGGCCGGAGTGGAAGGGGAAGAACCTTGGGAATAAGATTTTGCAGAGAAGGAGAGTTTCGCTGGTCCATAAAGAGCATCGACAAAGCAATAAGGAAAAGAAGATGAACATGATGTCGAAGGTTGACGAGATTGAAGAAGGACGAGAGACGGTGGGGAAAAGCAATTTCGCCGCAAATTTAGACGGTAGAGATGAGGAGCTGAGCCGGACGAAGCCTCCGCCGAATCCGCAGAGGCCACCGTGAAACTGCCGACGGAAGCCGGCGGTAGAAGTAGCGTCTGCATTACAAATGAAAGAAGCGAGAGCTGGCAGAGTTGTTCGTCAGTCACTTCGGAAGTTTCAGATTTTTCAGCTCGGACTCGTGTTGGTAAGTAGCCGTGAGTGGGCCGTTTGGGTTGGAGAATAAAGGCCCAATCATACCAGTAAAATCAATTGGCCCAAAACTTGAACTCAACTGGATGAGCCCGTTTTCTGAGCCCATTATGGTCCAGATGAATGATTCTCATGAGAGTTGAGCCCATTATGTACCCAACACAGTCCTTCCGTTCTATTTACAAGACATTTTGAGCATCTTTTTACAGAAATCATGGAAGGCCTGAAAATGCATTAACTTCAACTAAAAATTAAAAATCTTCAAGTTATCATCAAGTTGTTGGTTGAGATGCTAAGCAGTTTCACTCTTATAAGGAGGAGAACACAGGTTGGAATACCAAGAAACATACTTGTTGGAAGGGTTTTAACCTTAACACTCTCGATCTGATGGAGATTAGTCTCAATTTCAAAATGGCTTGAAGACACTCTCAATTATATTCGGAAAAAAAATCTCTAAGTTTGCATATGTTAATTGCATGATTGTGAAACTGACGACCCTCACTGGGAAAACATAAATACAGTATATTGAATAAAGGCGAAATAGGGGGAAAATTAAAGTAACAAATAGCCGTTTGATGCTTTATATAAAGTAAAAAGGGCCAAAGAAATATAAGTGTTAAAAAGTTATTAGTAGTATGTGCAGAATTATACATAAAGTAATGGCACCAAAGAGAGTAGTGTTATAAAAGGGGGAATTCATTTTAGACGCTCATCATCAAATCGTCCCGTGTAGATCAAAATCAGACGGTCCATATATTTAATATGACTTTATTTTGATATGTCTAATAGTTCAATACTTCAATGTGCACAAAATCAAAAATAAAGATTATCTATTAACTATTAGTATTTAAAAATAATTATTTTTATTTAAAAATTATCAGTTGAAAATTTTAAACCTTGACAGTAGAAACTGTTTCTGGATTATACGGATCTCATTACTATGATCAATAGCGTAATACCACGGTGTTTAATATAAAAGTTACTTAGCTAATTTAAGTAAATTAAAAAATTAGTAAAGTTGACAAATATGAGTTGATTTTTTTAAGTTAATTATGACTATTACTGGATGTCAACTCTTAAACATATATGTGTAATCAATAGGGATATTTTAAAGAATGAATTACAAATCTGAGAGATAAAATTGATTAAGATATTATATTTATGATCAAATTATATTCCCAACTAGCTATTATATTAAGTACAGAAAATGCAGTATATCAACATTCAAACTGATTCCATAAAAAGTAGCTTGTTGAGGAAGGTTTTCCGTTGGGGTTGGGAGGGAGGGAGTGTGAAGGGATGTGTAATGCGGAAGGAAAACACAGAAAAGAAGGTTACGACTAATTCTAAAGAGAAAAAAGGCAAAGGATTCTGAAGGCTGTTATCATGATTCGTTTGAACTATGAGGAGCAGAGATATGGAGAAAGAAAGAAATAGAGAAAAAGCAAAGGTCCTTCGTCTTTAGAATATCTGGTGCATCCCATTCCTACGTACGTTTTCTTTAACTCTTTTCACAGGACAATGCTGGTGTGCTGCCCACCGAAAGGAGATTTTTTCCCAAAAACGGCTCACCCTTTTTTTTTTTTTTTTTTAAATACTGCTTTCTCTTTTTCATGAATACTAAATAAACTTAATTTGTGCACATTTATTTGTAGAGGAGACACAATACCGATTACTATCCCACTAAATATTTCTATTTTTTATCCTTAATATAAAAATTAATTAAGAATTATATTTGATTTAAAATATAAGACCTTAATTCATTTTGTCTTTCAAATTTATAATTTCTTCCCCAATGTATCTTTATTGATTATATGTTAAGAGGTTTTTATCTAATAATAATCATGATTAAAATGGTACTTTAAAAAATCAAGTTATATTTATTACAAGTAATTAATTTTTGTAATATACTCCCTCCATTCCTTATTATAAGAAACATTTTATGCTTATAGCATGTTCCTATATATAAAAGACATTTAAAAGTTGTCTCTACTTTTTTGTGTTAATTTCTTATTTTACCTATATTTATTGTCTTTAACTTACACTCTTTCTCCTTCCCACTTCTCTTTCTTTTAATAATTTATTATTGTTCTCTCTCATGCTCTCTCTCCTTATTAATGAGGGTATTTTTGGAAAAAAATTATACTTTTTACACATTGATTGTTTTTAACTAATTTTAACTGTTTTTTTAATCAACATAATTCGGTTATTCGTCTCTTATAATAAGAAACAGAGGGAGTATTTAAATTAGTTAAGTTGATTTTCTATTAAGAAGGGGATAATATTACAAAGTACAGCTTTCATGTACTCTTTATATGTTTATTAGGGAAAAAAAGTAACATTATTAAAAGACGATGATATCTTTCTTATAAAATTGAAGTACTGAAAGAGTTTTTTTTATGTTGATTAATAAAATAACTGACGTAATAATTAAACTATCACTGTAGGGGTGGTTTGGGAGCCCTCGAAAACACTTAAAAAAAGTGTATTTATGCAAATAGTGATAAAATTTATCTCGTATACTTATTTCAAATGTCGTAAAGTTATTTTGAAAAAGTTAATTCTAATAACTCATTTGAGGATAAAGCAACGTGGTATTTATTTTTAGCGAGTCTTAACTAAAAGCGACCAACATAATAACACATTTTAAAATTTAATGAAAATAATTGCCCCGTTAACTTTTAATTTCTTTTGTTGGCATTATCTACATATCCAGCTTCTAAAATTTATAGAAACTTTATCTTATATTTATACGCACGCGCGCGCACACATATATATAAGTATATTGTGTAACTGTTACCTCAAAAAGTTATAATTTGCCCTTCAAGTTATGAGAAATTTTAACACAAACTTTCTAGATATTTGAACTCTGGGATTGCCCCTCCCATTAAAATTTGAAGCCCCTAAAAATCTAATACTCTACTGATCCTTAATATAAAACTTATTTAACTAATTTAGTTAGATTAAGAAAGTTAAGTAAGTTAGTTAATGATAAGAAATGTGATTTATTTTTCCTAAAGCACCATAATCATCTTTCTTAATACCCTCTCTCCATCTTCTATTTAATTATGGTTGAGGGAGTATTTATAGAGGTAATTTAGAAAAAATTGATAAATATGATAAATAGGTCTTATATTTAAAATAAAAACTAACTCAACAATTGACTCTTATATTAAGTAACGGAATAGTACTTAGAAAAAAGTTGTATATTCATGCATGTATCTGGAAGCAATCCTCATCATCTTCTGGTAAACCTGATGAACAAAGTTTGCGTAGGACTATTCCTTATATGATCCTCGGACACCTCGTCATCAAACTTTGCCTAACATACCCCCATTTAATGATGTCTGTTTGTGAACATAACATGCCCTCAGGCCTCCATCCACGCGTATCTTTCTCGTGCTTCCAAGTAATTGAGTTTGAGTGCCAATATATCTTTTTTAATTAAGAGAATAATGATGATTAATTATACAGTTAATCATGATTTGTTGTAGTTAGTTATCTTAATTACTAAATGATTTGGTCACTATTACATGAACCCTGTAATTAAATGTGTAAATCAATTGTAATATGCTCCTCTAAATTATTTGCTTATATTTTTTACTTTATTAATAAAATAAATTCTTAATCTAAGAACTATTTAATTAAGTAACAAATATGATATGATTTTTCTAAAATATTCTTATATAAGTGTATTATTAGATTGCATATCACTTTACAAGATAAATGTAAATTAGTTTGATGAAAATGATAAATATAAAAAATTGAATAGATTAAAGTATTACATTTAAATCAAAAACCGATTTCTTAACCACCTCATACATTTAATAATCAATGGTTGATTTTTTTAATCATGATTTGATTACGTTGTTAATAAAACTTAAAATCTACCATATGTACAGTCACGAGACAAATAATAGTTAATGACGATAGGCAGATAGCTAGGTAGGGATGGAAGGACTTGAAAGTTGAAACCCGTGACATTTTGTATCCTTGACAAACATGCTCACAAGCTGTGCTATTCCCCACTCAATTACTTTATAAAGAATCTTTTACCTTTGTCTTGTTAAACAATAATAATAATAAACACCTGTATGCATCTGCAATCTTTGGTACTTTGGTACAAGAAAAGCGCAGACAAGAAAATCAATTTAAAAAATTAGAAAAATGAGGTTAAAAATTTTAGATTAATTTTGCTTGCTTTTTTATTTTATATATTTTTTTATCAAAATTTTATAACTCTATTTTTTAATTTTTTAAATTAAGCTCATTGAAACCTTTTTTCTTCCTTTCCCTTCCCTTCCAATATCCTCATACAAAAGATGGACTTTTTTTTTTTCCCCGGGAATGGTGAAAATGAGAAGGAAGGTACCTATTTTCTTTTGTTAATATATACACATAAAGTAAATCGTTATGGATTTCAATCTGAATTGATTGAGAATTTATCATTTGAGAGTCATGCGGTCAAGTTACAAGTGGTTGTTAATTAAATAATTACATGGCTGGTCAAATAAATAAATAAATAATTACATGACCATATTATTCATATGTGTAATATTCCAACAAATAAGCTGATCACTGTTCAGATGAAGAAAAAGTAGACCTTAAAAAAAATAGATAACAGAGAGACCAAAATGGTTGGTAGCTCTCCATACATTAAATTTAAAACAATAAATCTAACGAAATACATCAAAGGCATTTATCTCTATTCTGTTTCTTTATTTTCTTCAGATAGTACTGTCTCTAATAATGCTATGTTGAAATGCGTTTCTTTAGGATTTCATCAAGTCTGGAACATGACAAAACTAGCGTCAAGTTAAATTCACATGGAACCACAACACCTGATGAACTGTGACACTGCATTATTTGTCTGCACACACACACACATACTATCTACCTCTTCATCTTGGACAACGTTCTTAATTAGTTAATACTCCTCCGGTCCTAATTATAAGACCCAATTGACTTATTTGAGGAGATTAAGGAAGCAAGTTAAGTTGGTTATTTATAATAAATAAGTGTTGTTATTCCTAAAATATCCTTGCTAATTAAGTATATTGGCTAAAACTATCATTATTAGAAGGATTATCTTGGAAAAAAATGCATAAATATAAGAGACAAAATGGATTGGGTCTTATAATTAAGACCAAATAAAAAGTCAAATTGGGTCTTATAATAAGAACCGGAGGAGTAGCATAATTAATTATAAAACATTTTAGTTAATAGTATAATTAATTATATAACATTTTAGTTTTGAAGGTCCCATGTGATGAAACTTGCCACTTTTCTCAAATTGCAAGCATGCTTCTGAAGAAGATCTGTGAACCTCACATTATATTATTTTAAAATTACTATGTTACATATATGTGTGTGTATCTCATGTATTCCATCCTCAAACAACTAAGCTCGTGATTGAGTGTAAAATATTGGGACCCTGGTCTTGGGATTTGGATTTTCTCTTTTAATTTCCTCGTAGCTTCCTTTTGATTCCCCTTAGCTTTAATTAAATGTACAAGACACAGTGAGATATTGAAATATATCACATACCATGACGAAGAAAAATGCATACATACATATATGGATATATAAATAAATATATAATTGCAAATTGCAACAGTATTGGCCAGAGGTGAAATTTCATTTAATATTTTGGATCCACATGAGAGTCTCTCTTCATTGTTGCGTGGTCCAGAGTTCATGGAGCAGTTAGACCTAAATTGACTAGAAATTTAGGGAGACATTAGACAATGGGACAAGTGGATTAATTTTTTTCACGTATATTAATTAATATTAACATATATAATAATAGTATATATATATAATGATAAACAACTGAATGAATTTGGATTCCTTGAAATTATATCAAATATATAATATTTTTTATGCTTCGCATTTAAGGTATCATATGGTATCGGAGATGTTAGGAAGGGAAGTACGCTTTCTTTGAAGTACGTGAGCGATTTGCTCCTGCTTATTTTAATTAAAAAAAATTACAAGTCCTCAAGATATTGGGGAGCTTGAAAAATAATAACTTTCTGAGTAAAATGTTAGGAAATTATTTCTTAAGTGTTTTATGTTAATGTTACAAAACAAAATACCTTCCCCCTAAACCTAAAATAAGGGTATTTATATCTTTAACATGAAAAATTAGTATAAATAACTTCTACAAAAATTCAATATGATTAAGTAAGTGATGTTTTCTGAAAAAATAATTACTTTTGAATAAAACTAAAGGTAATTTAAGAGTTAAAAACTACACCTGCCCTGGACCTGGACTAAAGCTTTTGCATTTACCTATGGACTCATCTTTTTTATTTGTGGATTTCAGTCTTTCACTTTTCCAAAGGCTAATGTGTCCAAACGCTCATTTCCGACTTTGGTGCTTCATGTCTTCTCTTTTACTTTATTTTTCTTACTGACCATATAATTGAGCTGCAGATTCTGAGATACCCCATCCTCACATTAGTATTAAAAAAAAAAAGAGAAAGAGACAGAAAATAAATTATACGTCTTAGATAAAAAAAATTAAATACAAACATGTCTCTGAATTTTATTTAATAGATATCAAGAGCTTTAACATCTTTTTTTTTTTTTTTACCAGCATCAAGAGCTTTAATATCTACTACAAAGTTTGACTAATAAATGATATAATCCATCTCTCAAATATAAAATCTGATATCTATAAGAACTGAGTAATATTAAATGAAATTCAAGAACTTCATTATATTTAATTTTCTTATTTATGACTCATAGATTAATTTTTTCTGAAAAATTTCCAAAAAGGTGAGTTTAGTTTATTTCTTTCTTAATTAAACAGACAATAAAAATATTTTTCAAATGAAGGCAGGGTGATACAAAAAGACGGCATGTAGCATGTACGTACATGCAACTTTTTTCAAGGAAAAATTGTAATAAGGTATCACCAAAAAGAATTAAATACAAAAATGTCTCTTGAAATAATTAAATTATTTTGAAGTCTCAAGAAGACTTCATTACAAGAGGTTTTATTTGTTTAATTATTAAATTTTTTCCCCTAAAATATGCTGTGACAAGTGAAAAAGCAGTTATTAACAATTTAAGATATAATAATTAACAATTATAGCGGCAAATATTAATAACACATTTTCTTACTACCTCACAAAAATGTAATGCATGAGTTGTTAACATCTACTATGATAGTTATTAATCGTTTCACCTTAAGTTATTAACGACTGCGTTTTCAGTTGTTAATGTATACTTGAAAAAAAAAGACAACTTGATAATTAAACAAATACTTCTTCGATCCTTAATATAAGACCCATTTAATTAATTTAATTAGATTAAGGAAGTCAAGTAAATTAGTTAATTATAAGAAATGTGACACGTTTTTCCTAAAATACCATAATCATCTTTCTTAATACTCTCTCTTCCTCTTTTACATGATTATGGTTGAAGGAGTATCTATAAGGGTAATTTAGAGAAAATTGATAAATAGGAGAAATGGGTCTTATATTTAGGATCAAAACTAACTCAACAATTAGGTCATATATTAAGGATCGGAGGAGTATAATTTATTGTAATGAGACCCCTTGAGACTTCAAATTAATTTGATAATTTAAAAAAATTATATTTAATTCTTTTAGGTGGGACTTTATTGTAATTTTTCTTTTTTTAATACTTATTTAATTTTTTTCTATATTCAATTCAGATATTAATCTAACTTTTGCGGGATCACTGACAACACTAATGCAAGAAATGGAATTTTAACTCACTTGTGTGTCTCGTAGCATAAATCAGATTCCCCTCTATTTTCTCTGTTACTGAACACTGATGATTTTTTTTGGTCCAATACTGAACACTGATGATTAGAGGCCTCTGAAATAATCGCCTTGTAGATTATGACTAATGCAAATTTTTATATATTGATGTGATATTAAATAAATAAAAAAAAAGAAAATAATAAAATATCTTGAAAAATGTTAAATGGTGGGGCGAATTTTAAAATTCCAATTCAGACATTTACACTATTCTAAAATTTTTAAATCTTACCAAATTACACAAATGCCCTTCAATATTTTTATTTTACTTTTTTTTTCAAAAAAATAGTGCACCTTAGCACTTATAAGTAGTTTTCAGCCACCAGAGCTCTAACACTGTTGACCTTACAGGTGGCCAGCTACCATAGTTCCGACAACGTGTCACTGGAACTACAGTGATTAGTCATCAAAACTTTGGTGACTTTTTTTTTTTTAATGTATTGACTATCTTTTTTTTAGTTATTAACTATATTTATTCTTAGAACTCTGATAACTATTTTTGTTTAACTAGTGACTACTCTAGTATTACGATTAACTATTTTCATTTTTAAAAATTTGATAATTATTCTCTTTAACTATTAACTATTCTAGTTTTGTTATTGATTATTTTTATTTCAAAAATTTAAAAAATACATTAAGTACTGTTAGATATCTGGTGACCACTTTTTATTTAATTATTTATTATTTTGTGTAATTAATAGTTATACAAAAATACTCATCAGAACTTTAAAAACAAAAATAATTAATAGTTAAATTAGAGTAGTTGATAGTTATATGAAAATAGTCATTAGAAGTAAGTACAATATTGTTATTTTACAATATTTTAAAATTTTAAAATAATACAAAAAATTTAATTTAAAATCTTGAAATTCACCTCTCTACATTTTTTTAAAACATTTTTGAGAATTTTTTTTTTGGGTAAATAAAAAGGCGGTGCCACCGTCAAATAGTGCACCGTCCTCCTCAGGCAGCTCGCTCCTGTTCCTTTCCATGCTGTATTATTTTCTTATTATTATCCTAGTCCCTTGTCTAATCTGCTCTGTACAGTGTACACTTTGTCTGCTCTGCTCACAGAAAAGGCCCTTCCTTTAACTAATTTAATCCTTTCTCGCTGCTAAAAGGATTTGGTTAACGGAACAAACATCAAACAAGTCATAGTTGTTCACCGTCTCTTACTTCTAAGCTCTTCTTCTGCAACATGACCTCTTAGCACTGTCTCTGGGAATGATATGATGAATATCTACTCCAGGAAACTCCATCGTTTCTGGTTTAAGGTTTCGTTCTTTCTTCTTCTTCTTCTTCTTCCTCCTCCTCCTTCCTCTGCTCTTGACAATGATGGGGCTTCTTTGCTTTCTTTCAAATACTCCATCCTCAGCGACCCATTATCAGTGTTAGAGAGCTGGAACTATGACGATGAAAACCCATGCTCGTGGAATGGAGTTACCTGCGATGAAATCGAAAACCCAGGTACTATGCTGAGAGTGACTTCCTTGGTTCTTCCTAACAGCCAGCTTCTGGGTTCGATTTCGGAAGAACTAGGAAACATCCCATACCTTCGACGTCTCGATTTGTCCACAAATTTCCTTAATGGGTCTTTACCCACTTCTATTTTCAACTCTTCGGAGCTTCAGGTTCTCTCGCTTGCCAACAATGTCATCTCCGGTGAGCTGCCTGAGTTGATCGGCCAACTGAAAAATCTTCAAGTTCTTAACCTCTCCGACAATGCTTTTGCTGGGTCAGTGCCAGAAAATCTCATTGGTTTGAAAAATCTGACCTCTGTGTCTCTGAGAAGCAACTACTTTTCTGGTCAAGTTCCTAGTGGGTTCAACTCTCTGCAAGTTCTAGATCTGTCTTCGAATCTGCTTAATGGCTCTTTACCAAATAACTTTGGTGGGAAACGATTGAGATACTTGAATCTATCTTACAATAAGATTTCAGGAATCATTCCTCCTAAATTTGCTTCACTGGTTCCAGAAAACTCTACCATTGATCTTGCATTCAACAATCTGACTGGACCAATACCAGAATCTCCCGTCCTTCTGAATCAGAAAACAGAGTATTTTGTTGGAAATGGTGATCTTTGTGGGAAGCCTCTGGAAAACCTATGTTCTATTCCTTCTACGCTCTCTATTCCTCCATCGAACACAACAGCAAACGCATCTTCGGCACCTGCGATTGCAGCGATACCAAAAACAATCGACACAAACCCAGAAACAAGCACAACAACAAACGACTCATCCAATGGCCTAAAACCGACCACAATAGTAGCTATTGTCCTCGGAGACTTGGCCGGTATAGCCATCATAGCCATGGCCATTTTCTTCGTCTGCCATCAAAGAATCACAAGAGATCAAGCCAAAGCAAAAGAAGACCCATGTGTGAGAGTGAAACCTCCTAAGCTTCACTTTTCCTGCTTGACAACCAAGGAAGACTCAACTTCATCAGAAGCAACCGGGTCTGACAGTGACTATGAGAGTACTAATATTGGCACGACAACCTCGAATTATCAAAAACAAGTGTCTCTTGTCACACTAGACGCAGAGACAGAGCTGGATTCGGAGACTCTGCTCAAGGCTTCAGCGTATATGCTGGGAACGACGAAGCGTGAGTGTATAGTATACAGAGCAGTGCTTGAGGACGGAAGGGCTTTTGCAGTAAGAAGGATCGGAGAATGTGGGTTTCAGAGGAAGAAGGATTTTGAGAATTATATGAAGACTATTGCCAAGATTCGCCATCCCAATTTGGTCAAGGTTCGTGGGTTTTGCTGGGGAGAAGATGAGAAGCTCGTGATCTGTGATTATATTCCCAGTGGCAGCCTCGCTGGCAGCTTCAGCCACAGTAAGTTCACTCTCACCCTGCAACTTCTGTTCTTGAGATTCATCCTGAGAATTAATCAAATCTTCAAGTTCTACGAGTTTGACCGATCAATTATATTATTTTTACAAAATACGTTAGTTTGATCTAATTTTTTCTCCCCTTTATGCAACATGAATTATAATTCTCATTGATATTCAGAAAGAGCAGGGTGTTCCTCTCCACTGAACTGGCCATTGGAGGTGAGGTTGAAGATAGCAAAAGGAATTGCACGAGGCTTAGCTTTCATTCACGGAAAGAAACATGTTCATGGCAACATCAAACCCAGCAATATCTTATTGAGCTCAGAAATGGAACCTATAATAAGCGATTTTGGGCTCAACCGTCTGAGGTCTGCCGGTTCAATGGCGAACCGGGGAAGCCAGCCGGACCTCCCTCACATGGTTTCATCAAGTGGAACCCACCAAACGTTGGCGTATCAAGCCCCAGAGTCTCTTCAAAGCGTTCACGTCCAACCCAAGCCCAAGTGGGATGTGTACTCGTTCGGGATAGTGTTGTTGGAGCTTCTCAGTGGGAGGGTTTTCTCGGACCGGGAGTTAGACCGGTGGGCTAAAGAGGGCGGGTCAGTGGAAGAGGAAAAAAACCGGGTTTTGAGGATGGTTGATCTGGGCATCAAGGGTGAGGTGGGAGGGAAGGAAGAAACCATATTGGTGTGCTTCAAGTTAGGGTTTCGTTGTGCCTCTCTTAAGCCTCAAAGGAGACCATCCATGAAAGAGGCTTCACAAATCCTAGAGAAAATCCCTAATAATTAAATATTATTTGCTCCTTGTTAATTCTTCACGACAATGATGTACTCGGGATCCTTTATCACATTAAATTCTGAGAACCATCCTTTTCCCAAGTGTTTCAAAAATGTCTGGATGTAATAGAAGAGTCATTCCATTCCACTTTATGTAATTATTCAACTAGGGTGTGATTGCAAATAGTAAGCATGAGGTTTAAGTATAAATATGAGAGTATTTTCAACTTTTGACTAATTTATACCACCTTCATTAGGCTGCAATGTTATTTTTTATCTTTCTTTTTTGGGATGATTCAATATTGTTCTCATTTAATTTCCAAACATTAGTTGGAATTCAAGATTTATACTTTATCTATAGTTTATAGTACGGGCTGTACTCTATACTGTAAACTTGGTAGGAGTACAATTCAGTAATGAAGTCTAGAGAGAAAAAAAGTTTCATAGCATAACACTACAAAATTAAAAAAAAAATGTTATGTATTTTCTCTTACTTATTTCTTTTATTTACTCAACAGAGAAATAAACTTTTACACTACAAATAACTTGTACAGTGACAAAGTGGCACACAGCTAAGCTAACTCCTTAAGTGCGTGTCTGGCTTTTTTTGGCAATTCAAAATCAGAGTTTAAACACTTGTAAAAATGGGTGCGGTTCAAGTCAAACTGAGGGATGGCAAATCATAGAGAAAATCCGTGACTAAGGGAATGAAGACAAAGGGGCTAGCTTTTCTCCGTACTTTTACTGACCTGAAACGAATCAGCGTGAAGATGAAAATAAGATGGGTGTTCTGTTTGATTCTTCTGATAATGAAAGAAAGTGATCAGCAACACTTGTCTGTGTCTGATGCACAGGCGAGGGCGGCAAACATGGCCGCTGCTGCTGGCACCCTCATACTTCTGTGTTTGTTTTCTTAATTGCAGTGTACCACGCACATCCCCTTTCACATTGCGTCATTGGAGTCAATAATCATGAGAAGTTGATGCGTTTAATGATTCCTGGGTTATGGGCAGTTTTGTCCTGCAAGTATTCGGAAGAAAGCTGCAGGTAACTAAAAGTTCAATGTCCTCCCCCAGAGAATTAGGCTCAATTAATCTTTAAATTCTTACCGGAAAAAAGTACATTTATTGTTAGGCGGCATTTTAATTGTTTTTACTTTTTAATAAAAAGATACAGTCTGTGATTTTAATTATAAGAATTAGTAGACTAATTTAAGAAGATTAAATAAATAAATTAAGTAAGTTATTTATAATAAATAGGTGTTGTCTTTCCTAAAATATCCTTGTTAATTAAGTGTGTTTAGTATAACTACTATTATTAGAAGGACTATCTTAGGAAAACTATATAAATATTAGAGACAAAATAGATTGGGATTTTAAATTTAAGACCAAAATAAAAGTTAAACTAGACTTTATATTAAGGATCGGAAGTAGTATATGTGTTCAGCTCAAAAAAAGTTTAATATCATTTTGAAAGTGTAAAAAATAATTTTTCCCTAAATATTAAAAAATTAATGTTGATTGTTAATTCTTTTTAATAGCACGGCCGATATTGTTATATTTTTAGCATTTTAAAGATAATATTAAGTCAAAAAAATTTCGGATTTTTTTTTCGCGAATATTCTTAGGAAAAAAATAACTTTAGCCCTGGTTTACTTTCCTTTGTCTCTATTTGATTGCACTTGGAAAATTAACCTTTTCAAACCTTGCTGTCCTGTGTTAGTCCATTACTAGAGGGATAGTTCTGGTCATAATTATACTACCTCTAATATTTAATATAAAATTTGTTTGACTTTTATTTTAGTCTTAAATATAATATTCTAATATATTTTGTCTCTCATTTATCCATTCTTTTGTTTCAGGTATTCCTTATAATAATAATAGCTTTAGCTAATATATTTGATTAGCAGTGATATTTTAAGAAAGACAACACATATTTACTACTGCTAGTTCTTAATATGAAAGCTCGTTTGACTTTTATTTTGATCATAAATATAAGAACCAAATCTACTTTGTCTCTTCTATTTATCTATTTTTTTTCAAGGTAGTCCTTGTAATAATAATAGTTCTAGTCAATAACTTAACAAGAATATTTTTTAAAAAACAGCATCTATTTATTACAAATAACCAACATAATTAATTTTTTTTAATTCACTAAAATTAATGAATTAATTCTTATATTAAGGATCAGAGGTAGTATTACAAATAACTAACGTAATTAATTTTATTTTCTTATTCTATTTAAATTAGTTATATATTTCTTATATTAAGGATTGGAGGTAATATTGTCCATTTTCTAGTTCCCAAACAGGTAATTATCCAAACGTAACAAATCAAATCTTGGACACCGAACTTAGATTTTCCCACCCTGTAATTTTTTTAGGGACTCTTTCTGTGGGCCTGCATGTATTGTGGTTTATAAGCATTTTGGATTGGGCTCCCTGTTTATTCGTGGGCTCACAGAGCCCCCTAGTTTTGAAAAAGCCTCCAGGTTTATATATTACTCATTTATTGTTGCTATTATTTATTATGATATAAAATACTCCTCCGGTCCTAAATATAGTCATATAAGACCTATTTATGGGTCTTATATTTAGAGCTGGAGAAATATTAAATTTGAATTTTCTTTCAGGATTACAAATTTCTTATCATGTATTGGCAGGAGCTATATTTCATTTTGTTATCTTTGTTTCTGCATGGCTACCCCTTCTTCGACTCGACCAAATTTGAATAATTTATATTCAAAATTTTATAAGATTATTTTTGAAATATTAAATTATGAAAAATAAACAAATAAATCCAACTAAAGTGTTAACTGACATTTTTTATTTTTAAGTTTTAGGAGTTCTAAAATGTTCATTATCCTCCTTAGCTGATATCAAAGTGCCATTTTCTCTATTATTTTTCTTCCATCTTTTTGTATATTTCCTCATGTTTACAAAATTAAGGCCACTGGCCGTCATTATTCGTTTTACCAAACCTTATAACTTGATTTACAATGCAAATGCGAGGATAACCTCACCAGCCTTGAGGCGAGAAGGGGGAAAATATAAAAAGGCCAAAAAAAAAAAATCTCACCAACCCAAAAAGGCTAAAGAATGGTAATTGGGTCCCACAGGGTCCAACCAGTGCCCAGATTCTTTCATTTGGACCCAGACCAGATATTCGTCCCAAAATATAAATCTGAAGGGCACCTTCAAACCCAAAAACGACAGGCAAACAACGTCCTTGTCGTCGGATTCAGAAACCCAAATCAGTGATTTGCTCGTGATCCTTCACGCGACAAAGGAGAGCGTGATGCCCTCCATTTCGGAGTCCTTTCAGCTTTCCCACCAAGGCACCAACTTTCAAGTTCCACCGCCGCTCCTCCTACATTGCATCAGCCGCCAAGTCTTTCTGTGGTACTTATGTGATTTTTAATATAAAATTTATTTAATTATTTTAATTAAATTAAAAAAATTAGATAAGTTAATTAATTATAAGAAATATGATATATTTTTCTTAAAATATTATAATCATATTTCTTAATATCCTTCTTCCCTCACTTACTTGCTTATGGTTGAAGGACTATTCATAGGGGTCATTTAGAAAAAATTAATAAATATGATAAATAAGTCTTATATTTAGGATCAAAATTAACTTAATAATTATGTTTTATATTAAAGACTGGAGGAGTATTAAAATAATGGGTTAATATGATTTTTGAGTTTGTTTTCTTCTTAGTTTCGGTTTCTTAAATTTTAAATTATAAATTTTAGCCTTTCAATTTTATTTTTACTTAAAATATTAGTTCTTATAATTCAATAAAAATTTGGATCATTTTATCTTTTGAAAGACGAAGCTTTATAATTTGAAACTTAAGAAAATAAAATTAAAATAAAGATAAACTTGGATGAAAGATTATATTAATTCTAAAATAACTGGCTGAAGTTAGCCTTAAGATCTCTCTTTCCTTACTTGTTAATTTTCTTTGAAAAAATATAAATTGAATAATAAGTTCTTATGTTAGTGAGTTTGGCTTTAACATTGAAAAAATAAGTGTTTCTGTTTTTATCCACTCCTCATTTTAATTATGAGATTAATATATTTTCTAAAATTATTTATAAAATATTGACTTAAAAAAAAATTAAAATACTACATTCTATTTATAATAATTTAAAATAATTAAAAAATTTAATTATTTAATTTTACATTTAAATCTAAGTAAGAGATTTTTTTTATAATCCAAATAATACTCCCTCCGTTCCTTTTTATAAGATACAATTAACTAAATCACATTATTCAAAAAATTAGTTAAAATTAGTTAGGTGCAATAAATATGTAAAAAGTGTAACATTTTTGCCAACAATACCCTCATTTACGTGAAAGAGAGATAATGGGTGGGAGAAAGAACGAATGGGAATTAAATACAATTATATGAGTAATATGAGTAATTAAATAGGGGTAAAATAGGAAATCAACATACAAAATTTGAGACAACCTATAAGTGTCTCTTATAATAAGGAACATGATATACTTTGCAATTGTCTCTTATAATAAGGAACAGAGGGAGTAGATTTTTATGTGTGCATTGATTTCTTTTTTTGGACCAGCGTGTGTATGGATTAATATGCAGACAAAGGGCGTCCGCCTAGTTCACCAAAAAAAAAAAAGGGCGTCCGCCTAATCTAAGGTTACCTTCAAAAGAGCGTGCAGTTCACTTCCCTTCCTAACTCTTCACAACGCATATAAAACGCAGTTCTTGTCTTCCTCTTCTTCTCACACCCTTCTTCATCTTTCGGAGCTCACTTGCCGAAATCAAATCCTAGTTTCTACACTTCTACGCCATTTTCTAAATTATAATGGCTTCCTTGTCTTCTTCACAAGCGCTTCGTGTTTCATCGACTAGAAATCCATCACTTTCTCTCTCTTCCAAAATCCCTCTATCATCCGCCTTCTCCGTTTCCCTTCGGCCTCCCCGCCGCCATGGCGCACGCCCTCTTGTGGTGGTAGTTTCGGCGGGTCTTGATGCGAAGCCAACCGTGCTTGTGGCGGAGAAGCTCGGTGAAGCTGGGCTTCAGCTGCTGAAGGACTATGCAAATGTCGACTGCTCCTATAATTTGAGCCCTGAGGAGCTCCGCACCAAGATCTCGCTTTGCGATGCGCTGATTGTGCGTAGTGGAACCAAAGTTACGCGTGAGGTGTTCGAATCATCGGGGGGAAGGCTTAAGGTGGTTGGGAGAGCTGGTGTTGGGATCGATAATGTGGATCTGGCGGCAGCTACCGAGCATGGGTGCTTGGTGG